GGTCAATACATTCTGCAGATAGATTTTTTTGTAGTTTATTTACAGCCTCTTGCTACATTTTGCCATGGGAAGTAACACTTAACTCTGGCTCCTGAAAGATGGCTGTGGGCAAATACCGATCAAGCCAGCCAGTTGGCTCTGAGAAAAGATTCCTTGAAAGTCATGACCCAGCTTTTGCAGCGGCCAGGAGGTACTTGTGAGTGCCAGAGACCTCCTTCCCAGAAAATCTTCCTGCAGGTGCCACCTTGAAAATGAAGACAAGACTGCTGGTTAACAGGGACACTCTGTAATGGAGGCTTCCAGTGCAGAGAGGAAATCTCGTAGGTAACCAGACAGCATGTCCTAGCCATTCTCCCCCCCACCCCCCTTTTTGCAAAAACCATCTGTAAAAATACTGATATTCACACAGAGAAATCTTGGAGCAAGAATTTTTAAATTATCAAGTAAGTTTTCTCTTTTAAGATGATATGACATAAATTGTTTTGGATATGACTTTATCTTTTCTTCCATACCCCTGAAAAAAAAGCTCTCATTTGGAACTTGATTTGAAGCCTCCAAAATGACGCTCATATTGGTGATGCCATGAACTATAATTCCTAGGGAAGTTGAAAAATGAATTCCCCCAAATTCTTCTAGACTACAGTTTATCTTTTGTGGCATCATTTCTACAAAATTGAGAAAGTATTTTTTCTCTTCTGATGAGGTTGTGATTTTAATAAGACTTTTTCTATTCAACAGTGGTAGGGAAGAAACATTGTGAACACAGAAGGTGGAGGAGAATAGCTGAACTGTGGGCAAGTGTGACAAAGTTGTAGTCACTAGGAAACAGGTTGGAAATGGATGGATGCATGCATCTTAGGTGTGTTGTATTCTCCAAACTGGAGACTTTGGTATCCATGCAGAGAAGGAATATTAATAAATATGTATTTTTGATGAGGGAGGAGGATTTTAATTATAGGGACCTGGAAAGAAAAGCCTGGCTCTCTGTCCTTGCCCCCGAGCTGGCCCACTCTGAAGGAGTGGAGTATGAATATAGGTACGAATATAGCAGCATATTGTTGTTGTAAAGTGCCACTGAGTCAGTTCCGACCCAAAGCACCCTTGGATAGGGTTTCCAAGGAGCGGCTGGTGAGTTTGAACTACTGACCTTGCGATTCAAACCAGCTTTGCAGTCCAGCGCATTAACTCACAGTACCACACAGCAGCATGGGTGAACACAATTCCTAAAGCCCCTCCAAATGCTCTTCGATATCTTATTATATATTTGTTGTTGTTAGCTGCTGTCAGGCAGGCCCTTAACTAACTCATGGCGACCCCATGCACCATCCCCTTGTTTATAATAAGGCTTTTGTGATAACATAGGGTTTTCACTGACTGATTTTCAGGAGATTGTCAGGCTTCTCTTTTTAGTTCAAACAGTCTTATCTCTAAAACGGGATCCTGGTATGGTGCTGTAGGATAAGCACTGGACTGCTCGCCACAAAGTCTGTGATTAAAACCAACCAGCCATTCCATGGAAACCTTATAAAGGGTCATTATGAGTTGCAGCTGATTTGACGGTACTTAGCAACTTAGCAACAACAAACTCTAAAATAGAAAGATAATCACTTAACATAGTACTTGGACATAGAATAATATACTGTTAGATGTTTTTCCCGCTAGTAAATATGAGTTTTTCAGAGCTCCAGGAGATTTTAGACATTATGTAGTCTGATCTCTTGGGTTTCCAAATTCAGAAACTAAGGTTCTACATAAAACCTGTTTCCTTTACCTTTTATTAAGAATTTTATTTTCCTTCCCTGAAGTTTTCTTTTAATTCCTGGATTCTTGATGTTAAATGAGTAACAAAAATCAAGACAGAGACAACAAAAGATACTATAAATTGTTTCTAGTTTTGAAAATATGGTAATTATTGATAAAGTTTTAGAATGAGAGACAAGAGAAATTTTGAACAAAATACCCTCATTTCTGCTCCCCTTCCCCTACAGGTACTTTGTGGGAGAGAAAATAAAATGAATTGGGAAAGAACCATTAAGTTAATGAAAAAAGATGAAGAGTTAAAAGGTCCTGGATAAGCAAGCGACTGAGAGAAGGAAAAAGAGACAGAACTGGGCCCTAAAAGGATACTTAGAGCCATCAAGAACATTCTAGTATAATAAGGTTGGCTTCTATTGGTTCAGATAACTAAGTGTTCAGCCGTTAACCAAAAGGTTAGCAGTTCACATGCACCCAGAGGTGCCTCGCGAAAAAGCCCTGGCAGTCTTTTTTTTTTTGTGAGGTCACAGCCACTGAAAACACTATGGAGCATTGTTCTACTCCGAAATACACAGGGTCATCATGAGTTGGAATTGATAGCAACCAGTATGATCGTCTAAAAGATAGAAGTGCAACTTGATGATCCTTGTAGCGCTTTTGCCCAGCCCCACCTTTAGACTTGAAGTCTCTTGTCCTTGTAGGTCATCTGCATGCTGTTGTTCTGGTGAGATGGTAGGAAAGGGTGGGTAGGATGTAATTCATTCAGGGATGACAACATTCACTTCTCACCAAGGGTTTGTGAGGTCTCACCATTGCCAAGATTCTTGATCAGTTTTTAATATGTGTTCGGCTTCTTGGCTTCTGTCTAAAAGCTAACAGCAGTTTGCTGTTGACAAGTGAGCGTAAACTGAGTGGTAAAGCAAGGAAAGGGCAACTGAGATGGTTCCAACAGTTTTGCTCAAAGTTGAGAACATTGTAAAAAAGTTAGTGAAAAATAACTCAGAGGACAAATACTATTAGTCAGCTGACTAGTTCTGAACTGGACAGACTTTGTACCTTGGCAAATGAATGGCCATCCTAGGTTCTATTGAACTTTTGCTGCCAAGTAATTCTGAAAAGGCTGACAGAGCCAGTAGTAGATAATAGAAAAGAGCACAGTGTCCCCTGCTCCAGTAACTAAGGTACACACGCTACAGGTGTGCAAAGAATCCAGCCCAGTCAACAGAGTGGTACCCTGAAACTTGCAGAATGTTTTGGAGATGACAGGATTGATCATCGAAGATTGCTGGACTGGATTTTTCTCCCCAATTTTGCCACCATTTTGAGAGTTTTAGCAGAGTATAGAGGAAATGGGCCAGATTTTACATTTCAGAGGCTCAACATCAGGTTTTGCCTACTTTTTAGCTGAGACCTTGGACCAGTTAGTTACTTCTCTGACTGTGCTTCCTCATGTGACTAGCTCTCCCTCTCTTGCAGATTTGTTATGAAATGTCATGACCAAGAGGAAATTAAAATAAAAGACTCCCCAGCACTAAACAGGAGTTTGTTTTGTGCCTTCCAGTCAGTTCTGACTCATAGGGACCCTGTATAAGAGGAGTAGCTGGTGGGTTTGAACTGCCAACCTTGTGATTAGCAGTCCAGTGCTGGTCCTGCAATGCCACATCAGGACTCCTAACAGGAGTTTATTGTTGTTGTTGTTATGTGCCGTGGAGTCGGTTCCAAACCATCACGACCCTGCACAGGGTTTCTGAGGCTGTAAATCTTTTCGGGAGCAGAAAGCCTCATCTTTCTCCCACAGAACGGCTGGTAGTTTTGAACTGCCGACCTTGAGGTTAGCAGCCCAATTCGTAACCACTACACTACCAGAGCTCCTTAACAGGAGTTTGTTGTTGTTATGTGCCATGGAGTCCGTTCCGACTCATAGCGACCCTGTACAGGGTTTCTGAGGCTGTAAATCTTTGTGTGAGCAGAAAGCCTCCTCTTTCTCCCAAGAAAAAGCTGGTAGTTTCGAACTGCTGACCTTGCGGTTCACAGCCTGATTCAGAACCACTACGCTACCAGAGCTCCTAACAGGAGTTTAGTATGCATCAATTTCTTTCTATATCTCTGAAATTCAGCTTTTTTATGTGTTCCAGTCTGAGTTTTGAAACGTGAGTAACTTATTTAAGCCAACAGCTTGGTGATAAAAGGAGCTGTTTATCAGAGATGAGCCTGAAGTGTCTGGTAACCTGATAGATTCTGGGTATAAGGGCAGGCCGCCTTACAGATGCAGCAGTCCACAGCTGGCAGCCCAAGAGCTTGGCACTGAATACAGATGCAAACCACTAGAGCTGTCACTCTGCATATGGCATATTCTTAAGCCATCTGAGCACTTCTTTAAAAAACACCATCCTGAAGTTCATCTAAGCCAGAAGTTAATAAAATCAATAGTAATCCCAGAATTTTTGAACTGTGCACATAGAGAAATGCAGAACTGTTTTTTTTGAAGAATGTACTAAATTGTGTTTCAGTGTGGAATTAGTATAGGTAAATGTTAGGGGACATGAGGGTGAAGTCGATCTAGTTGGGAAGACTGTAGGAATCAGAATACTTTGTAGCTAATTCTGTCTACTGCTCTTCTGAGCCGGCAGCTCAGTTGCTCAGTTTGTGGCAGCTGTATGCGTGCTTTTTCTTTTTAATCTGGGAGGTCCAGGCACGTAAATTCCCATCCTTACACTCTTTCATATGCTGGACTACAGTGCATTTACTGGGATGTGGCTCTTAACTTTTAAAATTTGCATCGTTTCAGCCTCCACTCCCCTGGAAAGGTTCTGTCTTGTCTTTACAGTTTACCCGAGGTGGTTTTTTTTTTCCATTGGTGGGGTGTGGACAAGGAAGAGGAGAGGAGGAAAAAGAAGACAGACTCTAGGCACTGGGAGGAATCTCGGAGTCCATTGATTGTTGGTACTTGTGGGGAGAGGACGAACCCGGGCTGGGCTGGAAACGGAAGGACTGCGCGAGTGCCCTCGAGGCGAGGCTGCCGGCAGGGGGAGGCCCGGCCGAGGCCGTGCCGCCTCGGGGGTTGTCGGTGTGCTGGGTCGCCCGCCGTAGGAAAGAGCTCCTGGAGGTGACCATGGTGAGGCGGCCGGTGGTTATGCAACCCGCAGCCCCCTAGTCGTCCCTCCCCGCTGGTTTGCGCCCCTCCCTCCACTCTGCCAACACTGGATCTCTCGCTCTTTCTCTCCCCTGTGTTTTCAAACAGGAAGTGCTCAGCTCTCTGTAACGTGCTGCCGGGTCCTAGCATGGAGGAGTGAAATCTCCCAGTTGCAGCCGGTTCCAGCCTCCGGAACCTGCCCAAAGCCGAGTCCTGGAGAGCACCCTGAGGGAGCAGGGTGGCTGCCTGGTCCAGGTGCGTGGGGCTGGGTCGGGAAGCCTGCAGGGCCAGGCGCGGGGCTGTCACCAGTCGCTGCTGCCGCCCCCCTGGTGCAGCTGAGCCGGATCTCTAGCTCCGACCTGCAGCCACGCTTGGGTGTCTTTTCCATGTCGCCTGCGCCTCTTAACTGTCTTCTCGCCTAAGTGCCTCTTCAAAACTCTTGCTGCCGCTGCCCAGGTTGTCTTGAACTCAGTGGACACCATTGAGCAGCGTGCTGTGCCCACGGAACCCACCAGGGCTCTCCCCGGGCGGGCGGACAGGCAGGCGCTTTCCAGACTGGGCTGCCCTGAGCTGCTCCCGGGGTTGCCTATGCCTCTGGCTTCCCTGAGTCTGCAGCCGCTGCCTCCACCCTCTCCACTCTCTTCTGTTCAGGCTGCTGCCTGAAGCAGCAGTTCTTTGTTCCTCACTCACTGGCCTGGGGTTATGTACAAAAATGTTCTGGGAAGCTTGAGACAATTCAGTCCTTTAAGGACGGTGTAATTGTGAGGGGTGGGAGTGGTGGTGGAGGGAAAGGATGAGTGGTGAGTGGGACGGTGTAAGGTAGAAAGGCATGCAGGTTCAGCAGCAATCCCTTCCCTTCACCTGGTCCAACAGAGCCCACCGCTTACCGCCACCCCTTACTTTCCCTGAGTGGGGAGAGCCAGATCATCACTAACAGGGAATTAGTGATGCAGACATGCACAGGAAAGGTAGTGACCAAGAATGAAGGACTGGGAGCTCTGAGGTGTTTAGTCTGGTGTCTGGCTTGTTAACTCCAGTGTGGTTTCTTGGCTTAGATTCCCCTCGCTGAGACAGAAGGTACTTTTAAATGTATGAGCCAGGCATCTTTCTTTACTAAGCGCCATTTGTCACCCAAGTAAAATTGAGAAGACTTTTATAATATTTACCAGGTAGATCGTAATTTCACATTCATGCCTTTTTCCATCTTAAATGTTCATGGGTGGAGATCAGCCACTAGGGGAAAGAGTGATTTTATGCTATAAACTCACTGTTGCTTCATTTTTCTGGCTGCTTCTCTCTCTGCAGACTCTAGATCAGATTGACTTCTTCCTCAGCGAAAGCCCGGCCTTGTTTCATTACCTATATTTTCTGCCTAGGGAAACTTCAGTCTTGGGTGGCAACATGGAGGTGGGATTGTTGTTATTAAGTGCCTTTTGATTCTGTACCAACATATACAGACCCTGTATAGGGTTTCCGAGGAGCAGCTGGTGGGTTTAAACTGCTGACCTTGTAGTTAGCAGTCCAGTGCTGACCCTATATTGCCACACCTATATTTATCTACCTGGGAAAACTCCATTCTTGGGTTGACACCAAGGGAGGTAGGATGGTTGAGAAGAATCTTCTTGTTGGGAAGAATGTATTGTTTCAAATGAAATGTTTGAGCAATATTGAAGCCCGTCGGTTCATCTTACTCATTATTTTATAGGATATAAAGTGATTAGATGACTGGCAGGGAGAAGAGTGACTTTGCCTATGAAGGATCTCTTTTTGTAGGGTGGAAAGAAAGTGTATAATAATTGTCTGCACTTAATGCCTCCTTTGGGTTATAGAGTTAATTCATGATAGGGGAGGTACGCTATAGCACACTAAAGCCTGAAAAAGCTGTAATAAAATATATTTACTGTATACTTAATTTTGCTTTAAAAAGAAAATCTTTTGAAGTCAGGTAGCTTGGTAAATTGTACTGCTTTCTCCCCACCCTCCCGGGCCTGTAGGAAGTAATTTGAATGATAAGATCCTTATTCTAATAGTTCTTTAGAACTTTAATCTCTTTAAAAATGCATTGGTTTTGAGCATTGTGATAATATCAATAATTGATATAATTGTATTAGCAGTAAGTAATCAAGATACACTATGAGAACCAAGCAATTAATATCATCCTTGCTAAATTTGAATTTAATTATGAGATGTCTGTATGCTCTTTTCTTATCAAATACATAACAAGACTAAAAGTGAAAACAAGTCAAGACCTGTATAACTTCAGCATTTTACCCCTTTTTGGCATCCATTTGTATTCCTTGTCCTTTGATTGAATAATTTATTTGAGGATTGGTCCCATAGGTATGTGTCACTCGGAGTCCTGGTGTGGCGCTATGGGCTAATGCGCCAAACTGCAAAGCTGTTTGAACTGCAAGGTAGGCAGTTCAAGCTAACCAGCTGCTCCTTGGAAACCCTATACAGGGTCGCTATGGGTCAGAATCGACTTGACAGCACTTGACAACAACAACAACAGTTTGTCACTCAGCTTCAAGATGCAATGTTGTTGTTAAGTGCTGTCGAATCGGTTCCGACTCATAGCAACTCTGTACAGGGTGTCTGAGACTGTAAATCTTTACGGGAGCAGAAAGCCTCATCTTTCTCCTACGGAACAGCTGGTAGTTTCGAGCTGATGTCCCTGAGGTTAGCAGCCTGATTCGTAACCACTACGCTACCAGAGAATGATCTTAATGACCCTCCTATCCTGTCACATATCTAACAACAAGATTTATTCCCACCCAAATGGGACCTAAACTCAGGAATAATAATAACTGGTTTGTGAATGGCCACTTTAAATGGTTAAGCACTTGACTACTGGCCTAAAGGTTCATAGCTTGAAGCCTCTCTCAGATGCTTTGGAAGACAGACCTTTTGATCTTCTTTTCATAGCCATGAAAATCCCGTAGATGTGCTCTACTCAGCATACTTGAAGTTGCTGTGAGTTGGAATCGACCCCACGGAAAAATAACAGCAACATATTACAACTTTCTGTTTTCTGGAGCTCCCCCCCCACCCCCCATCTCGTTCACAATTTAACACTCCTTTCAGCAGGCTGGTGAAATGTAATTCATTTAGTCCATTTTGGGGAGAAAAAAATTGAGGCCCGTAAGCTGTGCCTTGTCAGTGGCCAGGTTAGCCAGTGGAGAAGCTGTGATTTGAACAAGGGCCTTTTGACTTATAATTGCTGCCTCTTTTGTAACCTGTAAACTTGCTGTCTAAGGAAAAGATGGCAATGCTGATGCAGGTTTCCTTAGCTGCTCCCAAAGAGAGCTGATAAACCCTGACTCTGGACCAGATGTACCTACATTTCCAGGTGTCTCGTACTCCTCTCTACTCAGACTCTGCTCAAAGCCCAGGATGTTTTTTTGTAGCGGGGGAGAGAAGGGGAACTTTGTCCCCTCACCCCATAGTTTGAACTGTATACTTCCTCTGTGTCAGTGACTAGATTTAGCTGTGTTTGCATCAATGTAATTTGTATTCTGCCAAAATTCTAATGGTATATTTTAATTAATAGCTGTCTTTTCAGGGCTTAGTGTGTAAGTATCTTTTTGAAGGGTCAAATTAGCATATTTTACATTTTTAGAATAAAAGAGCCCATCACTTCAGATATACTTTTAGAACAGTTTGTTGTTGTTGTTGTTGTTGTGCCGTGGAGCCCTTTCCAACTCATAGCGACCCTGTACAGAGTTTCCGAGGCTGTAAATCTTTACGGAAGCAGAAAGCCTCATCTTTCTCCCTTGGAACAGCTGTTAGTTTCGAACTGCTGACCTTGCGGTTTACAGCCTGATTCATAACCACTATGCTACCAGAGCTCCTTTAGGACAGTTTATATCCCCTAAAATAAGTACATTGCTGTGTTAATAAATGCTGTATATGACTCTCTCTAGACCCACCAGCACCAGCACCATATATAGCCACTCTCCCACCCCAGTTCAGGATAATCCATTGAAAATTTCAGATTATAGAAAAAGAGTAAACACATGCAGACCTTAAATAACACAGTAAATATGTTTACGATATTCCCCAGATGGAAATAAGTTTATTTTTAAAATGTTTGCAGTACTTAAAGTTATACTTTCTTACACTGTATTGAGAAGAATATAAATGAAAATATGGAGTATGTTTTCATTGAGAAATATTGTATTTTCTCTTCAGTGCTTGGAGTTTCTTTGATGGTCTATAACTACCCTGCTATAGAATAGTGTCAAGCTTGGGAAGAGCATTCCAGTACTTATTCAGTACCACATCAGGACCTGGGGGGCAGGGTAGATAAAGTGAGTGCCCTTTCTTTTTTAAATGAGGAATGAAGAAATATATGAATATTTTCCTAATAGCACAATGCACTGCTATTTTTGTCTGTATTGTAGAGTTGCAGTGACTTGTGAACTAGCCATGTGTTTTCCAATAGAAAGGCTAAGTGAAAAGGGTAACTAGCTTTGATGTTAAATGCCAAGGAAAAGTTAATGGTCAAGAGAGGACTAGGAGTGGAGATAATATGAATAGATTTTCAGTTTTTAAAATCTCTCTTGTTTTCCTTCATGAGTATAATAAAATGAAAATTACCTTCTCAGTCAGAAACTGTAAACTTTAAAATGGTGATTCCTGATCCTTACAAAACTCAGGAAGTTTTTTTTTTTTTAAAAAATAAAACAACACTAATTTCAAAGAACTTCAGAGTTTCACTTTTTTATTTGACGGCAAAATATTTGGTGACAAAGTTATTACTTAATGCCACACAAATGAATATATACTATAAGTAACAACCACAGCATCTTGTTACATTTACAAAATAGTAGAAATTCTGTCTACTGACCTCTCCTTGTACCTGAAGTCCATAGGTTAGAAAACAGGGTCAAAATGAAACAACTGCTCTACCCTGCAGATGCTGGTGCTGGAAAATGTGTATAAAGGTGGAATTTTTCCTCTTCGTTTTGCATTGAGGAGGTGATGTGTAAAATCCTCAATTTGTATTGCTCTTGCTTGCTTCCAGGTTAATTGTTTTCCTATGGTGAACTTTGAGATCTTTACGACTATTTGGTCATGGACAACTCAGTTTTTTTCCTAAATGCATTTTCTTCATGGTAATTCTATGGTTACCCCTTCAGTGTGTGAGTATTTGTAGAGTCTTGGCTCTGACACCAATTGTAGAATCACCACTGTCATAATCACCACTAGCTACAGTCTTACATTCGTTTTTCAGAAGCTAAATGAAGCCTCTC